AAGCCGGGAATTTGTGTTTGAAATTATGTGACTTTGGTTTGAGTCATGTCTTTAAGAGTCTGTCAGACAATAGAAATCCCGAATATTTATCGCCCGAAGAAACTGACGGACAAACTGTTGATTACAAGACAGATGTTTACAGTGCGGCCAAAATCGGGGAAAACATATTTGATATGCAATTAACCCTTAAATTGTGAGTTTATGTGAATCTATAAAATAATTGATGAAAAGTATTGTATGAATAAAAGAATATAAATAATATGTTTAAAATATTAATTTAAAAAACATTTAATAATATATTATGTAATTTATTCTTTATTTTAGTCTACAATTGTATTCTTTGGACAAAAATTTATTTAAATCTGTAACTGAATTACAAAAAGTGTTGATTTCTATGCAATCATTGAAACCGAATGATAGACCCGATTGTCGACAAGTATTGCAATCATATAATGAGTGGTCTATTGATAGCAATTGTGTGACAACTCATCCCAACTATAAGACTGTTGTGAAGAACATAAACGAGGGAAACGATAAAGTATTCAACGAATTTATTTTGACAAAATTAAATAAAATAACCCAAGAATAACTTGGTATTTTTATTACTTTAATTATATATTTATCTTTCTATATTTAATTAACATAAATTATTTGTAACTTACATTTAATATAATTAAATTTTATTTATATTACGTAATTATAGTTATTGTATACCAAGTTATTAATAACCTGAAATATTATCAATTATTATATAATATTTAAAATTGTAATTAATAATAAGTATTTAATAATATGAAGTAGTGTAATCCAAATTGATCGATAATCCAACTACCGTCATAATTTATCTAATTATCTCGTTGTTATTCTGTAATTAAGATTTGTATTCTGTATGTCAATAATAACTTACATTTACAAACAATTACAAACTTTCAGTGTTTTAGAAAGTGTTGTAAAATATATAATGTAAATGAATGGCTGACTTATAACAGCACATATGGTTTAAATAATTAATTATTAATAAAGTTATCATTACGAATTTATTATATTATATAAGCATTTGATCGTATTTTAGAGAGAGAGAGAGAGAGAGAGAGAGAGAGAGAGAGAGAGAAGTGTTTTGAATGCAATGAAGTGAACGGCAAATGAGAGCCCAATTTAGAGACCTCGCGCCGAGTGCTGAATACAAATTATGTAAATGTTTTAAATTAATATGAATTAAAAGCAATCTTAGCGTTCAACAAAACAAAACAATCTCATCGTTCAAGAGAATAAATGTTCAGCCGATCAGCCAAACGAGTATATGATCCGGAGTTTTATGACTATTTGTATATTTAATCTAAATTTTTAGACCGAATACTTTTCGGAATCATCGAGTTTACTATTGTGGGCTTCATTTATACACACCCTGTAATTATGTAAACCATATGTGGCATTAATAGTCAGCCATTTATTAACACTTTATGTTTTGTAAGCACTGGTTGTCTATGTTTAACATCAATTTAACAAACATTTAGCCCCTAATTATACAGCATATTATATTTATCATTCACAGAACAAACTATTAAACACCGAGAGCGATGTCAACCATAACCTGGACCTGCATTATAGCTGTCTGTGTGGTCACCATAACAGGCGGTTGGAGGGCAGTCAGTGGCGCTCCGGCACCATATCTACCGGACCCGTATGACTCATACGAACCATACCGGCACCAGTCGTCGCCACACAGCCACTACTCGTACGGCGACCACCCCTTCGGTGGCCACAGACACGGCGGACGTCCGGTGACTATTCAAAACTATAACAACATTCGTGGAAAACCTGATTGTTTCAATGATCCCGATTGCATTAATCAAATTGCAACATTCAAAAAATGATCATGTTCAAATATCAAAATACCAGTACAAACTTTGTATATTAAAAATTTATTAATTCTTTTTGTTACAAAATGAATTCTTGTTATTATTGTAATAAAAATTAATATTAATTTATTATAATAATTATGTTTTAAGCAAACTTTGTAGGATTTATGTAATGAACTACCAATGATTATGTTGCTATTACCCACATGTTTAAGTATAGCCATAGACTCAATTTGTAAACCCATGTTAAATCCCATAAGGTGGCGGAGATGGTAGGGGTCCGAAAGATACTTTTAATTACATTCTTCATATATTAATTATGGTTACAAATATTTGCTAAAATGAAATGACATTTTCTGATTATTGTCGTTTAATGGTTTGGTCCTAATCTAACATATCTGTATTGATATACAAACAGATTTATATAGATGTTAATCTGATAATGTAATCTGTGAATAGTAGTTTACATTGTTATACTCTTATTATTTTTATAGTAATTACTTAAGTTTTAATACCATCATAACTTAATGTTATTAATTTCATGTTTATATTTTTAAAAAAATGATTGATTTTTTTCATTCTATGAATGTCATTTACTTGTTTTTAATTATTTGATAATTTATGGTACTTTTGATAAAATGTATTCTTTAAAAATGTCATCGTTTCCTCCTTTTATCTGATTCATAACATCCGCAAAGTTGGGATCAGTTGTCACACAATTGCTATCAATAGACCACTCATTATATGATTGCAATACTTGTCGACAATCGGGTCTATCATTCGGTTTCAATGATTGCATAGAAATCAACACTTTTTGTAATTTAGTCACAGATTTGAATAGCATTTTGTCCGACGAATACAATTGTAAACTAAAAATAACATAAAAATTAAATTAGAAAAAGTGTTGCAAATATATTATACATAGATATTCTGAATTTCAATCAAAATTTACTAACAATTTAGGGGTTAATTGCATATCAAATATATTTTGTGCGATTTTATCCGCACTGTAAACATCTGTCTTGTAGTCAACGGTTTCGCCATTAGTTTCTTCGGGCGATAAATATTCGGGTTTTCTATTGTCTGACAAACTCTTAAAGACATGACTCAAACCAAAGTCACATAATTTCAAACACAAATTCCCGGCTTTGCCTCCGATTAACACATTCTCGGGTTTGAGGTTTCGGTGAATCACTGCTGGACTTAAATCATGCAAATGTTGGACACATTTTAACAGATCTGCGAATATTTGACACGAAATGAAAAACTCCGTTGAATTCATGGCCTCTTCGGCCGATCGGCGGCCAAATGCCGGGCCTTTGAGTGACAGTACTGTCCGTAAATTGTGTGAACACAACTCCATCTCAATGTAATACTTCTTGTCTTCAAACCATATTCCTGTGTATTTTACAACATTTTCAATGTTTATGTTTGACAACTTGTATAACATTATAAACGGATCATGTTCTAATAAAGAATAATGGTTATTAATACAATAAATTGTATATTGTCTAACAAGTTTAAATATCTAATGAAATATTTACCATGATACTCAAAAATTTTTATCGCAAACTCATTTCCAGTAACTTTATGCTTGACTTTTGAAACAATACCAAAACTTCCCGGATCAAATACAGATAACTCTTGGTAATGATATGCGTAACTATTCATTTCGGTATTAGGTTTTGCTATTATGAATAAAATGTATAATTTTAAAGAATATCATTTAAATACTTTTAACTCATACCATCATTTAATTGCCTTTAATTTTTGTAAACATTTCGCTTAAAAATTGTCCACATTTTTCACTAAAGTCCTTAGAAGTTTCGTAATTATAGTCTTTATAATCGCATAAATGTATTGTTTTATAAGTCATTTGGGTTTCACTCAAACAGTAATCAAATATATTTGTATAATTAGTTTCGTACAAATTTGTCATATAATAAATTTCATATATTTTATCAGCACATCTGCCGATCACAATATTATTATCATTTTGCCATGAATTAAGAATATACAAATTGACTAGTGGGTTTAAATTATTTTCCGCCTTGGTCACTGATTTACATACAAACTGTTCATTGTGATCATTTAGATGTTGTCCACAAAAATACATATAACCATCGTGTGTTAGGAAATATGTTTGACTGCCGACCGGACATACCGTTTGAATGTTGCATAAATTGTTAATCATTTGTGGTTTGAATACATTACCCAAAATTTGGAGCCCCAAATTATATTTAATATTGTTACCCCAACTAAACACTCGGCCATCAGTTGAAACGGCAAAAGATGAGTATCCCCAACAATAAACACCACGTACTTTATATTCAATCCCATTGTCTATGAATTGCAACTTTACTGGTGTTATTATTTCTGTTTTGAGTTCATTCCCATAATCAGATTGTCCATGTATATTACAACCCCATACATAGACACAGTCATCACCGGTGACCACAAGTGAGTGATAATAACCACAACTAATATCACGGATAACAGGATTATTAGGCAATGAAATAATGCTTGGATTTAAATATTTTTTGGAAGGAGATTGTGCCAACTGTGCCCATCCGTTATGACCCCAACCGTATAAGCAATTTTTATTAATCGATAAAACAAAATTACTTCCACAAATAAATTGTTGTATATTTTGTTGACATAATTCTGTTATAATATGTGGTGTATTGACAGCCTTATTGTGTCCCAAACCAAGTAATCCCTCATTATTAGATCCCATGCCGTAAACCATATCATCGTTTGTCACAAACAATATATTAAACCCATTTTTGTCATCGAAAACGTGAAATAACTGAATACTATTGATAGCCATGTTATCGATGTCAAATTGGGACTTGTATTTATTGGTCGATACAGTCATCTGATGTGACGGAATACCCGTTTTGTTGTACCGCCGATTCCATACTGGTTCACTAACCTTGATCAATTCAGTGTCGCCATCATTAACTCGTTCTATGATCTTTACTCCCGGGTTAAGCTTATGTTCGTTGACTATATCCCCCTCCCCTTCCCCTCTTTTGTGCTTAACCTGCGATGTGTTTACCATCTCTTTGTCCCTCACTTTCCCATACGTTCCCTCATTTCGGCCCATATTCTCAAACATTGCTTTCAAATCACTGATACTTTTCTTCGGGACAATGGGTTTGTCCGCACCGATTGTCGAACCTATCGGTCCGCTCTCCCGGTCTTTGTTGGCGACAACCGGTTTGGCCAACCCATCACTTGCGAGGACACGATTTTGAACTCGGGCTGTTTTGGCGTCAAATTTGTCAATCAGTTCTTTGCCCTTGTTTCGCCTGACTTTTGGTGTTGGGCAAATAGATGTGCCATGGTCAGTTGTTGGTAATTTATTATGACTAGATGTACCGGGAATGTTACCTACCGTTTCCATTTGATCCTATTGAAATATTTTTATAATAAACATAAGTATGCAATAACTTTCTTGTTTTACCTTATTTATTTTGTGCTTAACTGGATCAATTGGTTTAGTATTTACATTTCCAATTGTCTTGTAATATAGAAATTCATGGAAAAATGACATATCTTTGGATTTAAGTCTTGATAGAATATCTCTGAATTCCGTAGGATTTGTGGTTTTAATTAATTGGTGATCGACTGACCACTTGCCATAATCTGCGAGTACTCTACGACTAGTGGGTCGACTATCGGGTTCGGTACCAACCATTGTTTTTAAAATGTTCCTCAAACGATTGAATTGACGCGAAAATAGGGTTGACCTGTATTGTATTTGCTTGCTGAAAAAAAATTAATAAATCAATACTTCAGTTTTACATTTATAACAAATATAATTAAATTAAATTATAAATTTTATAGTACAATTTTTTTTATAAAACTACATACACTTTACTATATATGTCAAACATTATCTTTCCAATTCCGCCGAGACTATGAATATCTGCTTTAATATCGTAATTGCTATTGAAAAACACTTCGGGTGCCATATATTTGGGAGTTCCCGCCCCTCGAGTATGACTTTGTGACGCCCAGTTGTGTTCAACAGCCAAACCAAAGTCACCAACTTTTAGAAATGTATTAGTGTTCGTGATGTGCAAAATCAATATATTCTCGGGCTTTATATCCCTGTGAATGATCGGTGGTTGCAAATCATGTAAATAATGGATACATTCTAAAAGTTCCCGAAATATTTCGCAACAAATAAAATACTCGTAAATATCCATCGCATCCGTCGACTGTCTATCAAATACTGTTTGTTTTACGTCGAGTACAGACCCGAGTGTTTGCGGGCAGTACTCCATCTGTATGTAGAGATGCATTGCTTCTATCCATGAGTTATAATATTTGACCGCAAAATGTGTGTCTAGTTTTGCTAAATGTTTCACTTCACCTAGAACACGATTTTTGCCTCCTTCATTCCAGTCTAAGATATTGTAATTTAAATAAATTAATTGTCAAATAATTATTATAATTGCCCATAGCAAAGCATTCAATTTAAATAATAAAATAAATAAGTTTTTAGTTAAATGGAAATATTTTAATTTTATGGGTTATTTATGGGGTACATATACTAAAAGTTATACACTGAAGCCAACCAGCCATCATTAGTAATGAGCGCTTTATAATTCTGACTACAAAGTTATTGCATAGATTATGATTGCTGCGAAGCTATTTATAACTTGACGTGGTTATTGCATTACCTTGATAATTTATTATATAATTTATTACCGTTACACTTATTATAGTCATCGAGTGCCCTGTTTTAATATTATGAGTATAAAAGTTTTAATTTAAACCCCCACTCTTTATATGAGTATTACACTATATATGAGTAAAACATGCATAGAGTATAAATTACATAGCAATAAAATTGCCTTGGAGCTGCCCTGAGACATACATAGTATAGATGGTTCATATTTACCTTCATATTTAATTTTTTTTAATGGCATAGATCTTATCGTCCAATTTATGCTTTACTTTAAATACTTTGCCAAAAGTACCCGTACCTAAAGTTGATAGCTCATTAAACAGGTGGGTGTAATAACCGTAATTTGATTTTTCCAAATTAATTGTATTATAAGTTATTTTGCATTCATTTGTGTTGTAATCCACAAAATGATTGTATTTTGTTTTAAACATTTCGTGTGTTTTTGATAATTCATGAATTTTATCGCCCATTAAAACGCAAATCTTATCGTTTTTATTAAAGATAAATGATTTCGATTGTTGTAAATATTGAATTGGGTTTTCACTTATGACTTTTGTTGGAAATTTTGATATAATTTTATTACTATTTTCATAATATTCGCCGCAAAAGTATAACTCGTTTGACGTCAAGAAATATGTGCCATAAATACTATAACTAATTGTCGTCACATTATCTATGGTTGTTATCAATCGGGGTTTAAATACTCTGATATCAGTTATATTGTGTCCTAATTTATAGTCTTTATTCTTACCCCAACTAAAGACCTGTCCGTTGGATGTGATGGCAAACGAAGATTTATTATAACAATATATGGATTTAATTATGGTTTTATCCATGAATTGTAACTTATTTGGTTTAAAAATGCAATTATCATTATCCCCGCAACCAACTTGCCCCCACCTGTTGTCACCCCAGGCATACACATAGCCATCACAGGTAAGCACCAGTGAATGATGTTTACCACATGTAATTTCTGCGATAGTTATATTTGGGACAAATGCTATCTTCTGTGGTTTTAAACAATTTTTATTAATATTACTTCTGGCTAATTGTCCATATTTGTTACAACCCATGCCATATATCTTATTCTTATCATTCACTGCTAACACAAAATCCAATCCATTGACAAAGTATTGTATTTTTTTGTTGCATAAAATTAATATCCCTTCTGTCTTCAGTATAGGGTTGTTGTGACCGAAACCCAGACATCCTTTTCCATTATTGCCCAAACCATAGACCAGTTTATCAGTTGTTATTATTAATACATTTTCCTTATTATTAAACTCATAGAAAACATGCATTTTTAAAATATCTTCTACATTAATATCTGCTAATATTTTATCACAAAATGTAAACTTCTTCAATAAATCACTCATTTTTGAATTAATTTTAATATACTTTTAATTAAATTTATATATCAATTATTAATTATGCACAACTTTAAATATATTGTGTTAATTATATTCACGAACCACAAGTCATTATATATTTAAAAATAAAACACTCTTATAAAACACAATTAAGTTATGTTATAATGTGATAGCGTCTTTAAATGTTATAACTTATATTAAGCTTCGAAGTCTTTTAACTAAGTCTTTTTGAAAGATTCGTATTGAGCATTTATATTGATATATAATTATATAACATAAAATTTTTTGTATCGCTAACGAATATTTATTCAATTTTTAAGATATCATTTATAATAATCAGCGAAAACCCAGATTTATTGTCCCATAAATTACCGACAATTAGAAATGCAGATCAAATAAATGATAAATGAATTTATTGACTTAAGTTATACACAGTTAATAATGCTTATTTAATTAGTATAAACGTATATGTTAAATGCTAAATAAAATTATTTAATGACTTTTAATGAAAATTATTAAATTTTATCAATTTGTTTTTATTGAAATTAAATAATTTGAAACAGACTAAATGCCAGAGAATTTTATATCATATTTAATAAAAATTTTACTTTTATGGTTTCACATATTATATTATTTGCAATTAAAACATAATATCATTAAACATGTAAATAAAAATCTAACTTAATTAAAATAAAATAATTATATTCTTAACTTATACTGAACTTATCATTTATAATGTTAATAAAAAACCTCAAAAACAATACAAAATTCATTAAGATCCATAGGTGTGTTAATTATTTTTACATGTATAGTCTTACTTGTTAGTCACATTAGAAATATTATGTAATTTATTTTACACTTATAAAACACAATTAAATTATGTTATAATGTGATAGCACCTTTAAATGTTATAACTTATATTGATATAAATATGATTATTAATATATGACTATATAAATAACATAATAATTTTGTGTATCCAACAATGTGTATGGACAATGCTAAGTCTATGGACAATGATAAGTCCATGGATAAGTCCATGCTAAGTCTATTGGCAATGATAAGTCTATAACATAGGAATAACATGGGCATTGCTAAATCTACACACGGCTGTCGGCACTCATGGATACGCTGCACCCGATGTAATGTCTGGCAAACAATATAACCACAAATCAGATGTTTAAAGCCTTCACGCAATCGGCGAAGAGTTGTTTGGCTTTGATTTTCAGTCGTAGTGATTTTCAGTGATTTTCACTTGTTTTTATTAATTATTTATTCTTTTTTATTGATACTTATATTTCTTATGGATTTTTTTAGTACTGATCCAATTGGAGATAACAACTCACTATTCAAAACATCCAAACAATGCATGTATGAAACACTCGTGCAAATGATGGCAATTGTGTGGAGACATAGGCCTGAGTGTCGGCAAGTGTTGGCTACACATAACGAGTGGTCCATTGAAAAGACTTTTGTCAGAAATCATAAGGAATTTAATGATGTTTTAAATAAACTGAAATCTAATGACAAATCTGTTTTCTATGAGATAATGTTTAATAAAACTAAATAATAGATAACTTGAATAAATAATGTCCTAAACTTATAAGTTATAACAATCATAAATAATATAAAGTATTTATGAAAAATTTAATTTTTATTAACTTTAAAATATAACTTTAATTTATTTAATTGCAACTTTTGTTTGAAAATACATTTATTTAAAACTTTTGCACAAATAGTGTGAATGTTTTGTGGATTACATTTTTGTAAAGACTCTGTGTATGTGTTGTACAGAATGGGACTTAAATAGGGACTAAATTGGGTCACTTTAGACCACATTTAGCTATTTTTGAAGTGCAAAATATTCTGGGAATGGGTGTACAAAATTGTGTGTATTGGTCGGCAATGTTTGTGCACATTATTTAGGCTACAATAATTGATTTGTTATTTAAATTTTATTGAATTTATTTCACAAATAGATGCAATAATTTATTTAAATAAAAATAACATATAATTTAAGGTAAATTGTTTATTTTATTCATGTGTTATCTCTTTACAAATTATACATTGGGACCATCTCTATATTTCTTATAGTTTGACCTGTAATATGACCATTCCGAATTGTCCCATATTTTGT